TGGCACCACCGGACGGGGCACCCGTCCCTCCCTCGTCTGCGCGCTATGTCTCGTCAGCGTCTTGTCTTAGGCCTCCCGCGTGTCTTGCCGTCGCTGCCGCCTTCGCTTGCACCGCCGTGCGGTCCCTGCGTCGAGGGTCGGCTGCGCGCCACCCCTCACTCCTCCTCCCTTCGTCCGGCCACCGAGCCTTTTGAGACGCTCCACTTGGACGTCTGGGGCCCCGCCCCTCGCTTTGGCCCTGAGCGCGAGCGTTTCTTTTTTGTGGTCGTTGACGACTACTCCCGCTACACCACTGTGTTCCCCCTGGCGAAGAAGTCTGAGGTGACTTCTACGCTGATCAGGTGGTTGCTTACCACTGAGGGCACTCGTGGTCGTCGTGTCAGCTGTCTTCACTCTGACCGTCGAGGTGAGTTTCGCTCCGGCATTCTCGCTGGATTCTGTCGCGAGCAGGGCATTAGTCAGTCCTGGACGCTTCCAGAGTCCCCATAGCAGAATGGGGTTGCTGAGCGCCGCATAGGCTTAGTCATGGAGATCGCCCGCACCTCCTTGACTCACGCCCGTGCCCCCCATTTTCTGTGGCCCTACGCGGTTAGGTACGCCGCTCACCAGCTGAACATCTGGCCATGCGTCTCTCGGCCAGAGGCTTCACCGACCAGTCTTTGGACCGGGTCCCCTGGTGTTGCGTCGAGGTTTCGTGTCTGGGGTTGCTTGGCTCTTGTCCGCGACACTTCCGCGGACAAGCTCTCGCCTCGCGCCGTTCCCTGTGTCTTCCTTGGTTTCCCTGAGGACTCCTCTGACTTCACCTTTTACCACCCTCCCTCTCACCAGTTCTTTGACTCCCGTGACGTCCGTTTCGAGGAGTCCACCCCCTACTACGTCAGGAACCCCAGTCGAGGTCTCCCGGTTCCTCCTCCCCCTCTCTTCCTGACTTCCGCTCCCCCTCCTGCTCCCCCGGTACAGCCTCCCCCCCCTGGTCCCGCCCCGTCAGGTGTGTCCCAGGCTACCCCTCCCCCCTCGGTCGCCCCTCAGGTGCAGCCTCCTTCCCCGCAGTCCTCCTCGCAGCCTGCTGCAGACCCTGTGGGAGCCGGTGCTCGTGGAGAGGGCCCTACAGGTGCTAGCTCTGGGGGTGCTGGAGTTGGAGCTGAGCCCGTGGTTGCAGGAGACTCTTGTCTTCCGGGAGCTGGTGCTGGTCCTGCTGACTTTGGGGGTGCTACGTCTGGGGGTGCGGGTGCACCCTCTTCGGGTCCTGGTGAGCCTGGTCGTGTTTCTTTTGGTGGTGCTGACTCTGGGGGTGGTGCGCCAGGTGCTTTGGAGGGCGGTCCCGGGGCTGCCGCAGCCCCCGACACTACTCCTCCCCCCCACCCCTACCCGACCCGGCACCAGGCTCGTGTTCATCGTGCCCGTGAGGAGCAGCTGGAGTTGGAGAGAGAGGAGAGAGAGTTGCAGCGGCTGGAGGAGCAGCAGCAGCAGCAGCAGGAGCAGCAGCCGCGGCTGGAGCCGCCGCAGCAGCAGGAGGCGCAGGAGCTGGAGCCGCTACAGCAGCAGGAGGAGCAGCAGCAGCCGCCGCCGCCGCCGCAGCAGCAGCAGCAGCCGCCGCCTCCTCCTCCTGTCTCCGGTCTTCGGGCCCTCGGTCTCCCCTCCCGCTCTCCTTCCTCCTCCCCCTCTCCTCCTGTCTCGGGTCCTCCGCTTCCTCCTCCTGACCCCTCTCCATCTGTTTTCCCTTGTTCTCAGTCTTCGTTGTCCCCTCCTCCTTCTCAGACCTGGGCCTCTCGTCGCTCCCCTCGTGCTCGTCCCTCATCCCCTGTTCCCTTCACTGACCTTCGTACTGCCTTACTTCGTTCTAGTCCGCCTCGTCCGTCTCCGTCTGTGCTTCCGTCTCCTCCTGAGTCGGCCCTCACTGCTTCGCTTTCTACTCCTGTCACTGACTACTACCGCACGTACCGTCCTGTTCTCTCTCGTGTTCTCGCCTCTCTTGTTACCCACCCTCGTGCCTCTGTGTCCTCTGTCTCCGCTCTTACTGCCGTAGTCACTGAGTTTGCCTCTACTCGCCGCCTTGACTTCGCCACCAGTCTTGTGGCTGCTCCTCCTTCCAGTCCTCTGGCCATCGGGGGTGTGTCTGCCCTTGGCTGTGACGCCCTAGAGGACAGGCAGTTTGAGCTAGAGTTCCTGGCAGCCGCTTCCCCTCATCTCTGTGCCATGGTGCTCGCCCCTGCGGGAGACCCCGACGCCCTTGACATACCGACTCCTCGCACTTACGCTGAGGCAGTGTCAGGGCCTTGGGCCTCTCAGTGGAGAGCTGCCATGGACGCAGAGATGGCCTCCTACAGATCCACAGGCACCTACGTCGACGAGGTTCCCCCCCCTGGGGCGAACGTAGTCGAGGGCATGTGGATCTACAGGGTGAAGCGGCCACCGGGATCTCCTCCGGTCTTCAAGGCGCGCTACGTGGCTAGAGGTTTCAGTCAGCGCGAGGGAGTTGACTTCTTTCAGACCTTCGCGCCCACCCCGAAGATGACCACTCTTCAGGTGTTACTGCACGTAGCGGCACAGAGAGACTACGAGTTACACTCTCTCGACTTCTCTACTGCGTTTCTTCAGGGTAGCCTACACGAGGAGGTCTGGCTGCGTCGTCCCTCTGCCTTCACTGGCACTTTCCCTCCTGCGACCCAGTGGAGGCTGAGGCGACCGGTCTACGGTCTCCGTCAGGCTCCCCGTGAGTGGCACGACACCCTTCGTTCTACTCTTGCCGACCTTGGTTTTCAGCCGTCGTCTGCCGACCCGTCGCTGTTTGTTCGTCGTGGCTCTACACCGTTCTTTGTTCTAGTCTACGTCGACGACCTGGTTTTCGCCACTGCTGACAGGGTTGCCTTGGCAGACGTGAAGTCCGAACTGCAGAAGAGACACACTTGCACTGACCTTGGTGAGCTGCGTTACTACCTTGGCCTGCAGATCACCAGGGACAGAGCTGCTCGCACCATTACACTCTCACAGTCACACATGGTGCAGCAGGTCCTTCAGCGGTTCGAGCTTCAGCACTCCACAGTACAGCGCACACCTCTTGCTGTTGACCACAGACTCACTGGACCCTTTCCTGACGAGCCGTTTGAGTCCAGTGGTCCCTACGCAGAGTTAGTGGGCTGCCTCATGTACCTGATGACTTGTACTCGCCCGGACCTCGCCTTCCCTCTCAGCGTCCTTGCTCGCTTTGTTGCGCCAGGGAGGCACCGTCCTGTTCACTGGACGGCAGCTGTGAGGGTGGCGAAGTACCTAGCGACGACATCAGGCGTGTGGCTAGTTCTTGGAGGGCAGCAGCCTGTCGTACTTACTGGTCACTGTGACTCTTCTTACGCTGACGACGCTGAGACTCACAGGTCTACTCAGGGGTACTGTTTCAGCTTGGGTTCTGGAGCTGTTTCCTGGCGGTCCACACGCTCCTCTTCGGTCTCGACCTCTACAGCTGAGGCTGAGATCTACGCTGGTGCCATGGCGGCACAGGAGCTGCGTTGGTTGACGTTTTTGCTCGCTGACCTTGGTGAGCGGCCGAGCTCTGCACCGACCTTGTTCACTGACAACAAGGCGTCGATTCTCCTCTGTCGTGAGCCACGACTGGAGAGCAGAGTGAAGCATATTCACGTCAGGTACTTCCTTCTGCGAGAGTTGCAGAGACGTGGACAGGCTCGCTTTGAGTTTGTGGAGTCCGAGGCCAACACTGCAGACATCTTCACCAAGGCGCTTCCGCCTTGTGACCACCAGAGGTGTTGTGTGCAGTTAGGCCTTGTTGACACAGGTTCTAGTCGTGTATAGGCTTGAGTTTACTGTTTGCTTTGCTTGTACTCTTGCTATACACACTTGTGAACTCTTTGACTGGCCTTGTGACCGTACACTTTTGGTTTTGCTAGACACCCCTCACTTAGGCTATGGGGGTGTGTCGAATGTTGTAGCCTTAGTGAGGTTTGTCTTAGGGGGTACAGAAGTTATGGTTTGTTATATGTACCCCAACTCACATCAATGACATCATTAGTTCCTTTCTTGACAAGCTGCACATAATGGACAGTACACCTAGTGAAACTATTACTACATGAAATACCGGTAGGGCCAGCAGTGCTTTGTGCTGCTTTTCAATGTCACCAAACGCCAAGCAGGAAGCCATTCCATCCTGCATCTGTAAATGACAGCATTCTATGGCCTTGCACCAAGGCCAGCCAACACATGCCTGCATGCCAATCAAATGTGAGGAGAATCCAACTAGCAAAACACCCAATAGACCAGCAAGCAACAAGAAACCAAGCAAAGCCCATCTTCCTTCCACTCATCACACCCAAAGCAAACCCGTGATCCTTCTGAACCAGCCACTCATGGCAAACCAGCAACTCAATCCCCAGAGCACACAGCACACCAGCAACCCAATCCCCGGTGCACACAGCACGCCAGCAACCCAATCCCCAGAGCACACAGCACGCCAGCAACCCAATCCCCAGAGCACACAGCACGCCAGCAACCCAATCCCCAGAGCACACAGCACGCTAGCAACCCAATCCCCAGAGCACACAGCACGCTAGCAACCCAATCCCCAGAGCACACAGCACGCCAGCAACCCAATCCCCAGAGCACACAGCAAGGAAGCGACCAGTCCCCAGCAAACAAGGCAAGCCAGCAACCCACACATTCCTTTCCCTTATCACACTCATAGGAAGCAAGTTTCCTCCTCATGTGGTAACCAGGTCGTTGCTGTCATACCAGAACGAAAACACTCCCGGCAAGGGTCCTGGTTGTGTCACTTTCGAGCTCGCACTAAGTGACACAAACAGCACCACCTGATTGTCATACCAGACAAACACCCCCAGCAAGGGTCCACTCCACTGCTCTCCCAACAGCACCCACTCATCGCCCCGTCCATCCCTTCCTCTAAGCATGCTTGCTGCACTCCCACATCCAAGTCAGCAGCCAGTGCCATGCAAGAAAGGCACTCATGTGGTGGTGACCGTTGAGTCAAACCAGAATCAGCACACGCCGGCTCCAAACCCTGCTGTAATGAGTGCCCCTAGCAGTTCCTGTGCCACAATCGGCTTCCTCACTGCCCCATCCATCCCGGCCTCCAAGCACGCTCGCTTCACTCCCACATCCAAATCAGCTGTTAATGCTATTATGCAAAGGCGCTCTTGTGCTACTGATGTGCTTGCATCAATTGCACTTGCTGCTGCCGCTGCTGCTGTTTCGGCTGCTGCTGTTGCTGCTGCTGCTGCATCAGTGGCAGCATTGTCTCCCTCTGGCATCTGGTGTGCTGCCTTGCTGCTGCTACACTGTGTGCTCTCCATTGCTCGGATCTGACGAGCCGTTTCGAATCTGTGGGGAAATGGGAGGCAACCGGTGGCAAGAAAGGGACGTGAACAAGGCAGCCAAGGAATTGCTGGATTGCAGTTCCAAAGGAAAGACCGCTGAGGGCACCCAAGGAAAGACCACTGAGGCCACCCAAGGAAAGAAGGAACATTGAAATTCATTTGCGACTGCCACCCTCAATAATGAGGATCGCTGGAGTTGAAAAATCCAATGAAGAAACTCCTTCAACCACATTCTAAGTAAGGAGAGTCCAAATCAATATGACGTATGAAAGGCAGGTAACAGTCACAATCGCACTTCAGCAGCAACCGCGAAAGGATCGAGCAATGGGATCCAAGCTCACCCGTCGATTCGATGCCCGGCGGCATGTGGAGATCAAGCAGCAACAGCTGGATGGGCGAGGAGGAGGTTGTAGCATTGGAGAGCGCCTGCAGCGCCTCCTCCCCGAAGCACAGCAGCAGCACGAAGGAGGGGTTAGAAGGAACGAACGAGCAAGGCACTCACCCGTCGATGCCAGGCGGCATGTGGAGATCAAGCAGCAGCAGCTGGATGGGCGGTGCAGAGGGCGTTGCATTCGAGAGCGCCTGCAGCGCCTCCTCCCCAGAGGGAAGCAGCAGCACGTGCGCCCCGTAGCCCTGCAGCGTTCTGCGGGCCACCATGCGGTTCACCGCGTTGTCATCCACCACCGCCACCCCCCGCCCCGCCACCGCCGCTCGCACCAGCGCCTCCGCCTCCCCTGCTGCACGCTCCCCGTGCGCGTGCAGCTGTTGGAGCGATTGCGCCCGTGTTATTCTCCGGCCTGATACAGTTTGACATGCCGCCACTGCACGAACCTGCCCCCCCTCCGTGTCTCCCATGCCGTCCGTGTGGGAGAGGGGTTTCGGGAGCGAGTGCGACCGTGCTGGAAACACCCCCTCCTCTGGTGCCGCTGCCGCCACTGCTGGCAACACCCTGTCCGCCTCTCCTGCACGCTCCAAGGATTCGAATATGCCAGCTCGTGTCTGGGAGTGGGGTTTCGGGAGCGAGTGCGACTGTGCTATCCGCGGCCCCGCCCTGCGAGAGTGGGCTCGTGCTGCCCGCTGCTGCAGAGGCTCCTGCTGCGGCCCAAATGGATGCTGCTGCAGGCTTGCCTGCTGCTGCCCAGGTTTCGGGAGCGAATGCGACCGTGCTGCCTGCTGCCCTGCCCTTCCCACCACTGCCACTGACTTTTCCTCCTCCTCTGAGTCTCCCATGCCGTCCGTGTGAGAGCGGGATTTCGGGATCGAATGCAACCGTGCTGCCCGCCGCCCAGCCTTTCCCACCACTGCCACTGACTTTTCCTCTGCTGGCAATACCCTGTCCGCTTCTACTGCACGCTCCAAGGATTCGACTATGCCAGCTTGCGGCTCGAGGTGAGAGTGAGAGTGCGCTCGTGCTGCCCGCTGTTGCAGAGGTGCCTGCTGCTGCTGCTGCTCCACAGATGCTTGCTGCTGCTGCTGCTGCTGCTGCTGCTGCTGCCCAGATGCTTGCTGCTGCTGCTGCTGCTGCTGCTGCTGCTGCTGCTGCTGCTGCCCAGGTGGATGCTCCTGCAGGCTTGCCTGCTCCTGCCCAGGTGCCTGCATTGCAACACTCGCAAATTCCACACTCTCCCGGTCACTCCCTGACCCGCACCCATCCCTTTCACCACCACTCTCCTCATCTTCCCCCCAATCGTCGAAGCTGCCGCTGTCCTCCCCTCCCCCCATGGGCAGAGCCAGCAGAATGGTGGTGCCTGTGGCGGCGTGTGACAGCACTGCCATGTCTCCCCGCATCTCAGCCACCTACTCGGGGGGAAGAGAGGGGGGGTATTGGGAAGTAGGGAAGCAGTGGAGAGACAAGGTGAGAATGGTGGTGCCTGAAGATGCGTCAGACAGCACTGCCATGTCTCCCCGCATCTCCGCCACCTGTTGGGGTGAAAAAAGGGAAGTGAGAAGGAGGGGCGCAGAAGTGGTGGGGAGAGACAAGGTTAGAATGGTGGTAGCAGTAGAGGCATGTGGCAGCACTGCCATGTCTCCCATCATCTCTGCCACCTGTGGAGGTAAGAGAGGGGAAGTGAGAAGGAGGGGCGGAGGAGGGGTGGGGTGGGGAGAGACAAGGTTAGAAAGGTGGTAGCAGTAGAGGCATGTGGCAGCACTGCCATGTCTCCCCTCATCTCAGCCCCCTTCTCGGGGAGAAAGGGGGAGTGGCTTGGCAAGTAAGAAGAGATGGGATAGCGACACGACAGGTGCAATGTGAGGGGTTGTGGGTGCGATACTGCCAAGCCCGGGGGAGGATGATACGGGGAGGATGATACTCACAAGAGCAGTGGAGAGCAGGAAGCGGACGGGGTAGGGCGTCCAGCGGGGGAGAAAAGCAGACCTCTGGTCGTGCATGAGAGGGGCTGTGGTTGCTGCCCTTGAGTCAATCAATAGTCCCCGGGGGAGGATGGCACTCACAAGCGCGGTGGAGAGCAGGAAGCGGACGGGGTAGGGCGTCCAGCGGGGGCGAGCAGCCGACCTCTGGTCGTGCGTGAGAGCGGCAGTTGCTGCTGCCCTGCTGCCCCGGCGACTGAAGAGGTGGGGGAAGAAAGTATCCTGGTGGACGGTGGGGTGTGGACGAGCACAGTGAAGGGGAAGCACAGACAAGGATAGGAGGGATTGAGCACTCTGGTGAGGCAGTTGTTATAGGGATGCTCGACGCACCGTGGCAGGACAGCAGGCAGAGAAGTGAAGAGCAAAGCGATCCATCCACTTACCTTGGTGTCATCGCCGTCGTTGTCGTTGCCATCACCGCCGGCTGAACCCGCAACACTGGCACGAGAAGGGTGTGCTGCAGCGGCGTGGTGGGAGTCCCCATATGGGTCCAGCACCCACCGCAGCTCCTCGGGTAGTATACCACCGCCCGAGTCTTCACACGCCATCACCACCATCCACTCGCCCTCCTCTCTTGCCGCACACACTCCCTCCACCCACTCCCTCACCTCCTCCTCCAACCGCCCATGCCCACTCCCACCCTGTGCCTCCTCACCCTCCTCCCCCACACTTGCTTTCTTTGAACCCCCTGTGCCTGAAGCCCCCATGCGCTGGAGAAAACGCGAGAGGTGGGTCAGGGACGACTCGTGAGGCAGCTCAGAAGTAGCCCCTGTCTGCCCTGCCCCCCCCCTGTTGCCTCTTGCAACGTGGCGCTGTGGGAGGCGTGCCAGATGGGTGGAAGGTGGGAAGCGGCGCACACAAGCAGACAGCTGGTGCCACGCGGGGGAGCCCGAAGGGAGGTGGTGTGAGGAGGAGGCGTGAGGAGGTAGTGAGGCAGGGGAAACGGCGGCACTAGCAGATGCGCAGGGGAGATGGAATCGGCTTGTTGAGGCATGTGGGAGAGGCGGGGGAGGGATGCAGCAGACGTGGAAGGCCACTTGACCACCAGCAAGGTTGCTCATGGCGTGGGCTGCAGGGGAGAGGTGGGGGCAAGGGGACAACAGGACAGACAGACACGATTTCTGAGTCGACTCAAAAAGAAGTGGGGGAGGGATGCGGCTGTCCTGGAAGGCCACACAGCCACCAGCAGCCTTGTGCATGGCGTGGGCTGCATACGCGGAGGGGGTTCAGTTCAAGGGGAAAGAAAAATACAACAATTATTAAGTCGACTCAAAACGAGGCGGGGGAGGGATGCAGCCGATGCAGCCAGGCGAGTCATTGACAACTAGGCACATGCGAGTGTACTTATGAGTCGACTCAGAACGAGTCAATGACAACTAGGCACATGCGATGCGAGTGTGGACAAATAGGAAGAGACGTCTCACATGAGGCACCGGTACGCACCTGTGAGCTCTTGAATGACTTGCGACAGGTGAGTCAATGACAACTAGGCACATGCGATGTGAGTGTGGACAATTAGGAAGACTTGCACCAGGCGATTAGAATCCCCCATAAGGACAGCCGGCACACCACTAGGCATGTTACTGCAGTCCACGCACAGCACAGCAAGCACAGCAAGCACAGCACAGCACAGCAAGCACAGCACAGCAAGCACAGCACAGCAAGCACAGCACAGCAAGCACAGCACAGCCACAACAAGACTCGCCAGCAAACCGGCAGGCACGCACCTGTGAGCTCCTCAACGACTTGCGCCAGGCGAGTCGGATCCCCCATGAGCACATCCGGCACACTCTCCTCCACGTGGCATGTCACTGCAGCACACAGCACAGCAACCACAACACAGCCACAGCACAACCACAACACAGCCACAGCACAACCACAAGAGGAATATTGAGGCACCTCAGAAGAACCCCCCATGCGCACATCCGGCACACTCTCCTCCACGTGGCATGTCACTGCAGCACACAGCATCCGCAGCACAGCATCCACAACAGCACACATCAGTCAGTATGCACCCGAATCAGGACCGCATCCATCCACAGTGTTGTGTTCCACCAACTTTACAGAGAATTAGGATCCTTTTTTAGGCGCCTCAAAAACAGCCACAACAGCATGCATCAGTCAGTATGCACCCGAATCAGGACCGCATCCATCCACAGTGTTGTGTTCCACCAACTTTACAGAGAATTAGGATCCTTTTTTAGGCGCCTCAAAAACAGCCACAACAGCATGCATCAGTCAGCATGCACCCGAATCAGGACCGCATCCATCCACAGTGTTGTGCTCCACCAACTTTACAGAGAATTAGGATCCTTTTTTAGGCGCCTCAAAAACAGCCACAACAGCATGCATCAGTCAGCATGCACCCGAATCAGGACCGCACTCCACAGTGTTGCACCAACTGAAGGGAAAATTGGGATGCATCAAACCGCTCATACGTAGCAGATCGTGACTTTTGAGTCGACTCAAAAGGCATCCGCAGCACAGCCACAACAGCACGCATCAGTCAGTATGCACCCGAATCAGGACCACACTCCACAGCGTTGCACCAACTGAAGGGAATATTGGGATGCATCAAACCGGAGAGTCTCGAGCTGCAGCCGTCCGGCCTGCAGCTTGGCGAGGTCCAGTAGAGCACACGTTTATACCTTGCAGATTCTTTCCCGGTGCTATCTGTTCATCAACTGCTGAAGTGGCTGAAATGGCCTCGTGCACAATGCGGCGCAGGCAGCAGGGGAGGGTCTCGAGCTGCAGCCGTCCTGCCTGCAACTTGGCGAGGTCCAGCACTCGGTTGATCAGCTCCACCGTCTCGCCCGCACACGCCCTCGCGATCCTTAGATCCTCACGTTGCCACTCTTCCAGTTGCGACTCCAGCAGCTCCTCTATCATGCCTGTGTGGGACGGAGGAGGAGGGAGGGGAAGTGGGGTGGCCTGCAGCTTGGCGAGGTCCAGCACTCGGTTGATAAGCTCCACCGTCTCGCCCGCACACGCACACGCCCTCGCCACCCGCAGGTCTTCACGCTGCCACTCCTCCAAACTTGACTCCAGGAATTCTTCTATCAAGCCTGTGTGGGAGGGGAAGGGGAGGGGAAGGGAGCGAAGGTGGAGGGGGGGAAGAAGGGGGCCTGCAGCTTGGCGAGGTCCAACACTCGGTTAATAAGCTCCACCGTCTCACCCGCACACGCCCTCGCCACCCTTAGGTCTTCACGCTGCATCATTGTCATTACTCCATCAGCATTATCATTACCCCATCACCATTACCATTACCCCATCACCATTACCCCATCACCATTACCATTACCCCATCACCATCCCCATTACCGCATCACTATTACCATTACCGCATCACTATTATCATTACCGCATCATTATTATCATTACCGCATCACTATCACCATTACCGCATCACCATTACCATTACCACATCACCATTACTATAAACACATCACCATTACCATTACCACATTACCATTACCACTTAGTTGGAGTTAGACATGAGCACAAGGGCGAACACCTGTTCGGTTCGCCTCGAACACGTTCGAGGCGAACCGAACAGGTTTGTTTTTTTTTGCTTAAATTGTTCGCCGAACAGTGTTCGATGTTCGCCCGAACACGTTCGTGTTCGGGCCGCTGCTGCAATTTGCCCCGCGACGAACACGAACGTGTTCGATGTTCGCCCGAACATGCCTTCACAGGCGAACGGCGAACACGTGTTTTTGCTTAAAGTGTTCGCCGAACCGAACACTGTTCGGTTCGGCAAACGGATGTGTTCGTCTAGGGGCGAACACGAACATGTTCGTGTTCGCCCCTTGCTCATCCCTAGTTGGAGTATACGCGTTTCACGTTTCATACGCTAGCGTTTATCCACTAGCGTATAAACGCTGAACGCTTCTTGGGAGGGATGAGCCGCATTTCTGCTAGGAGAGGTGAGTCTGGTTGAATCTAACTCCTCCACTCGACATTGAGTGGAATGAATTGGGATTGAATGGGGTGGAGTGGGTTGCGCAATGGTATACAGAAGGGATTGTTGTGGATCTGCTTCGAGATAAAATTTCAAAGTTGAGATCCCGAATGTGCGATGCCCTAATTTTAGTTCGCCATGTCGCGAGCTCAAACCCAACTTCGGGTTTTTTTTTTCCAGTCTGCCCAAGCGTTTTTCTGCGTATTTACACAAAAAAACGCAGCGTACGTTTTTTCGAAGCGTATAAACTCAATACGCAAACTGACTTGAGCGTATACTCCAACTTAGCATTACCATAACCACATTACAATTACCACATCACCATTACCATTACCACATCACCATTACGATAATCACATCACCATTACCATTACCACATCATCATTAACATTACCACATCACCATTACCATTACCACATTACCATTACCGCATCACAATTACTATTACCACATCCCATTTACCATTACCACATCATCATTACCATTACCACATCATCATTACCATTACCACATCATCATTACCATTACCACATCATCATTACCATTACCACATGATCATTACCATTACCACATCACCATTACCATTACCACATCACAATTACTATTACCACATCCCATTTACCATTACCACATCATCTTACCATTACCACATCATCATTACCATTACCACATCATCATTACCATTACCACATCACCATTACCATTACCACATTACCATTACCGCATCACAATTACTATTACCACATCCCATTTACCATTACCACATCATCATTACCATTACGACATCATCATTACCATTACCACATCGCAATTACCATTACCACATCACAATTACAATTACGACATCACCATTACCATTACCACATCATCATTACCATTACCACATCACCATTATCATTACTACATCACCATTACCATTACCAGATCACCATTACCATTACCACATCACCATTACCATTACTACATCATCATTACCATTATCACATTACCATTATCACATCACCATTTCCATTACCACATCACCATTACCATTACCACATTACCATTACCACATCACAATTATCATTACCACATCACCATTACCATTACCACATCACCATTATCATTACCACATCACCATTACAATTACCACATCACCATTACAATTACCACATCACCATTACAATTACCACATCACCAATATCATTATCACGCCAATGCGTGGTGTCCGCAGCTCTCACCTATCATGCCAATGAGTGGTGTGCGCAGCTCATGCGACGTGTTGGCCACCGTCTCACTCTTGGAATTCTCTACTCTCTCCAGCGGCTTTTGATGCGGCTCAAAACTCACACGACGCATGTCGACCTCACTCAGGTCTAAACGTCCTAACACATGCACGTGTGAACGCCCTCGCACATACATGTGCGCCCTCCCTCACACTAACCGATACATGCCCTCTCTCCCTCACCTATCACGCCGATGAGTGGCGTGCGCAGCTCATGAGACGTGTTGGCCACCGTCTCACTCTTGGACTTCTCGGCCCTCTCCAGCGCCGCCGTACACAGCTGCATCTCTCTCACCCCCTCCGCCATCTGCCGCCTCTTCCATGCCAGCACGGCAATCACGAGAGACAGCAGCACGGCTACCACCAGCACCAGCAGGCCTAGCAGCATGGGAGCAACAACCAGGTCCCAACTGGGGTAAGGGCCCTCAAACCTGCACGCGGACATTCATGTGAGGAAGACAGAGGGCATGTGAAGAAGCTGCATCATGTGGAGGAGGGGGACACACATGTGCATGCGCCATTTCACGTGAGTCAGACAGCCTTGATGTGAATCTCTCAACTGAAGCTTAGGAGGATGTATGTGCGGCAGCACCTGCACTGCCTCCTTCCCTCACCTACAGTGCGCCTCATACTTGCGGCCCAACAAGTCTTCAGGACACGGCTCGACGTGCTTTGGAGAAGCCACCACAGGGCCCGGCAGGGCGTAGGGGAAGAGGGTGCCGCTCTCCAGCCTCAGGGGCTCCATGTCTAACCTACACTACATCCTCGCCTCCCTCCTCGCCTCACCTGCAGGCTTAATTACCCGTACTGCCTCCTCGCCTCACCAGCAGGCTTATTAACTCATACTGCCTTCTCGCCTCACCTGCAGGCTTGCCTCCTCGCCTCACCTGCAGTGCGCCTCGTACTCGCGACCCAGCAGGTCGTCAAGAAACGGCTCAACGTGCTTGGGAGCTAAGTTGGTCATTTACGTTTACGTTTACGTACGTACGTGTACGGGTACGTACGTTTACGCGGCTGTTGGGTTGGAGGCCTAATGTACGGGCAGGTGGAAAATTTTATGGGCTGCCCGAATATGTATATTTTTTTTTACAGTACTCCCTCGTAATCATGATTCCATCATATAGTGTAAACATTCCATTATATAGTGTAAACATTCGCTGAAACCAGTGAAGCTCGGCGGTGACGAAACTGCCGAGCGGGTGACATTTGCTTACCTTGCAAGCGAAGCAATCGCGAGCTGAGTCAAACAGTTCGCAATGTTCTATCGCGAACAGTTTGTACACGTTCGCGACCACAATTTCCTCCCTCCCTCTCTCGACAGACTTAGTCGACATCGTAGTTCTACCGTAGCTATCGTAATTCTACCTCCTTAGTCGACATAGTACGTAGGGTAGTCGCCACACCATAGCAACCCTAGCTAGCAACCTTCCTGTTTCTTACATTTTACTAACACGCTAACAGAGCATAGGTCATCGAAAGCTTGTTTCTTTTTTAGGTTTTCAGAAACCGTTTTCAAATAAAAATTTCGTCCAGAATTTTTTTGACCTGCCCAGCGTACGTACACGAACGTACGCGTACATACACGTAAACGTACATGTACGCGTACGTTACATGTACGTGGGCTGAAATGGCGTAAATGACCAACTTAGCTTGGGAGAAGGCACGACAGGACCGGGTAGCACGTAGGGAAAGAGGGTTCCACTCTCCAGCCTCAGGGGCTCTCTATCACTCACCTGCAGGCTTATTTACTCATACTGCCTCCTCGCCTCACCTGCAGTGCGCCTCGTATTTGCGGCCGAGCAAGTCGTCAGGAAACGGCTCAATGTGCTTGGGGTAAGGCACCACAGGGCCCGGCAGCAAATAGGGGTATAGGGTGCCACTCTCCTTCCTCACCTCTTCCTTGTCTCACCTGCAGTGTGCCTCGTATTTGCGGTCCAGCAGGTCGTCAGGAAACGACTCGATGTGCTTGGGGTAAGGCACGACAGGGCCCGGCAGCACGTAAGGGAAGAGGGTGCCGCTCTCCATCTTGACTGGATCCGGGCCGAGCACCTGAATGGGCTGCTTCGGGTCGGTGGTGTCGTACAGGGCGATAGAATAGGAGCTGGCGCTGCTGTCTGCGTGCATCACACACACGCACATGCATGCATGGAGGGCATGGGGGAAGGACACTGATATAGAGGAGCCTCAGGAGCTTGACCGGATCCGGGCCGAGCACCTGAATGGGCTGCTCCGGGTCGGTGGTGTCGCACAGCGCGATCGAATAGGAATCGGCGTTGCTGTCTGCATTAGGGGAAGACACACAAATGCATGGAAGGCATGGGGAAAACATATGTTTTAGACGCCTCGGAAAATGGTACTCCCTTAGACGCCCCCCAAACTTGAGCTCTGACCGAGCACTTAAAATTGCTGCTCTGGGTTGGTGGTGTCGTACAGAGCGATCGAATAGGAGCTGGCACTGCTGTCTGCATTGGGGGAAGACACACAGGCGTGGAAAGCATTGGGGGTGCATGAGACGTTTGAGTCAACTCAAGAGCACCTGAATGGGCTGCCCTAGATCGGTTGTGTCATACATTACAGGGCGATCAAATAGGAGCTGGTGCTGCTGTCTGCATGCAGCGAGAAACACACATACATGGAAAGAAAGTGGGGGCACATGAGGGTTATGAGACGACTCTAAAGCATTTGAATGGGCTGCTCTGGGTCGGTTGTGCCGTACATGGCGATAGAATAGGCGCTGGTGCTGCTGTCTGCATGCGGCGAGACACACACATGCATGGAGGGAAAGGCATGGGGGACACAGGCTTTCAGGAACCTCAGAAATGGGCTCCAGGCAACATATGGGCGCAAAAGTCAAAGAGAAGCGATCGAACCGTTATGCAGCAGGCTACGGGCCGTTATGGGGAAGGGGCCGGACCGTTATGCAGCAGGTGAAGGACGGCTTGTAGCTCGTTGCCCATATAGCTGAGGTCGGCCCATGCGGTGGGACTACCACGGCTCACACTCTTTCTGCATAACCAGGGTCTGTTTGTGTCACTTGCATGCAGTAGAGTAGAGTGAGGGCCGTTATGGGGGAGTGGTCTAACCGTTATGCAGCAGGTGAAGAACGTCTTGTAGCTCGTTGCCCATATAGCTGAGGTCGGTCCATGCGGTGGGACTCACACTCGCCCTCCGCTGCTCCAGTGTTGCGTTCTCGGGGACGAGATGGCGGAATATAGGCACCACCATCACTGCACACATGGATGGATGGATGGATGGATGGATGGATGGATGGATGGATGGATGGATGGATGGATGGATGGATGGATGGATGGATGGATGGATGGATGGATGGATGGATGGATGGATGGATGGATGGATGGATGGATGGATGGATGGATGGATGGATGGATGGATGGATGGATGGATGGATGGATGGATGGATGGATGGATGGATGGATGGATGGATGGATGGATGGATGGATGGATGGATGGATGGATGGATGGATGGATGGATGGATGGATGGATGGATGGATGGATGGATGGATGGATGGATGGATGGATGGATGGATGGATGGATGGATGGATGGATGGATGGATGGATGGATGGATGGATGGATGGATGGATGGATGGATGGATGGATGGATGGATGGATGGATGGATGGATGGACCATGATGGACCACTTATGGATGAGAAAAACACCGAACTATCTATCATTTGCCTTAAGCCCAGACCCTCACTGTTCTTGCTGAGAATTATGTCAGAAGATCGATGCAGATTACCCAACTGCAGATCGGTTGGCATCGAACATAAGGCCGATTTGATAAGGCAGCGTACGGTCAAAGAAAAATTCACCTTGCGCTAAATTGTAGTGCAACAATTTGAGAGAGAATACGGATCATGTGACATGACAACACCACTTACTCACCAATGTTCACCCACACTCCAGTGTTCACCCACCCACTCACCCAAGAAAACAGGCACATGATAACATTCAGAGTTCTCAAAACGTCTCAAAACGACTCAGCTTGGGAACTCTTTTGAAACGGCTCAAAAAGAATCAGCTCACTAGTGCCCACACGCAGATTGCTGTTGAAAAAGACGGGCGGCAACGAGACAGAGTTGCTTTCTGAGGCGCCTAGAAACATGCAGCCTATCAGGCACAAAAGAAAGAAACTTGGCTCACCAGTGCCCACGCGCAGCTCACCAGTGCCCACACGCAGCTCACCAGTGCCCACACGCAGCTCACCAGTGCCCACACGCAGCTCACCAGTGCCCACACGCAGCTCACCAGTGCCCACACGCAGCTCACCAGTGCCCACACGCAGCTCACCAGTGCCCACACGCAGCTCACCAGTGCCCACACGCAGCTCACCAGTGCCCACACGCAGCTCACCAGTGCCCACACGCAGCTCACCAGTGCCCACACGCAGCTCACCAGTGCCCACACGCATAAGAGAAAGCTTAGCTCACCAGTGCCCACGCGCAGGTCACTGTTGAAAAAGACGGGCGGCAACGAGACAGAGTTGCCATCGAGAAAGGAGGAGAGGAGCGGGGGGGGCATGGCAGAGAAATCAATGAAAGCCTCACGCAGCTCACCAGTGCCCACACGCAAGTCATTGTTGAAAAAGACAGGCGGCAAAGAGGCAGAGTTGCCATCGAGAATGGAGGAGAGGAGCGCCGGGGGGGCCATGGCGGAGAAATCGATGAAGGCCTCGAGATTGGCGAGGTAGGCGTATCCGGGGAGAAAGTTGATGATGTAGTGCGGCTTGCGAGGGGAGGGCAGCCCGAGAGGAGACTTGATGTCCATGCCTGTTATGCGCTCGACCAGTGCCCTGGGGGAGAAAGAGAGGAGAGGAACAGGAGAGGAGAGGAATGGGAGAGGAGAGGAATGGGAGAGGAGAGGAATGTGAGAGGAGAGGAACGTATTGCTGAGTCGCCTCAAGAGCAACCATGCCTGTTATGCCCTCCACTCCACGAATTCCCTGGGGAGAAAGAGAATGGAGGAGAGGAGCGGCGGGGGGACCATGGCGGAGAAATCGATGAAAGCCTCGACTGGGATGTTGGCGTATCCGCTGAGATAGTTGACGATGTAGTGCGGCATGCGAGGGGAAGGCAGCCCGAGAGGGGACTTGATGGCCATGCCTGTTATGCGCTCCACCAGTGTCCTGGGGAGAAGGAGAGGAGAGGAACGGGAGAGGAGAGGAACGGGAGAGGAACGTATTGCTGAGGCGCCTCACGAGCAACCATACGTGGGATGCGCTCCACCAATGCCCTGCAAAGGAAAGAGAGATAGGGGGATGAGAAAGCAACTGGAGGTAGAAAGAGAGATAGGGGGATGAGAAAGCAACTGGTGGTAGAAAGAGAGATAGGGGGATGAGAAAGCAACTGGTGGTAGAAAGAGAGATAGGGGGATGAGAAAGCAACTGGTGGTAGAAAGAGAGATAGGGGGATGAGAAAGCAACTGGTGGTAGAAAGAGAGATAGGGGGATGAGAAAGCAACTGGTGGTAGAAAGAGAGATAGGGGGATGAGAAAGCAACTGGTGGTAGAAAGAGAGATAGGGGGATGAGAAAGCAACTGGTGGTAGAAAGAGAGATAGGGGGATGAGAAAGCAACTGGTGGTAGAAAGAGAGATAGGGGGATGAGAAAGCAACTGGTGGTAGAAAGAGAGATAGGGGGATGAGAAAGCAACTGGTGGTAGAAAGAGAGATAGGGGGATGAGAAAGCAACTGGTGGTAGAAAGAGAGATAGGGGGATGAGAAAGCAACTGGTGGTAGAAAGAGAGATAGGGGGATGAGAAAGCAACTGGTGGTAGAAAGAGAGATAGGGGGATGAGAAAGCAACTGGTGGTAGAAAGAGAGATAGGGGGATGAGAAAGCAACTGGTGGTAGAAAGAGAGATAGGGGGATGAGAAAGCAACTGGTGGTAGAAAGAGAGATAGGGGGATGAGAAAGCAACTGGTGGTAGAAAGAGAGATAGGGGGATGAGAAAGCAACTGGTGGTAGAAAGAGAGATAGGGGGATGAGAAAGCAACTGGTGGTAGAAAGAGAGATAGGGGGATGAGAAAGCAACTGGTGGTAGAAAGAGAGATAGGGGGATGAGAAAGCAACTGGTGGTAGAAAGAGAGATAGGGGGATGAGAAAGCAACTGGTGGTAGAAAGAGAGATAGGGGGATGAGAAAGCAACTGGTGGTAGAAAGAGAGATAGGGGGATGAGAAAGCAACTGGTGGTAGAAAGAGAGATAGGGGGATGAGAAAGCAACTGGTGGTAGAAAGAGAGATAGGGGGATGAGAAAGCAACTGGTGGTAGAAAGAGAGATAGGGGGATGAGAAAGCAACTGGTGGTAGAAAGAGAGATAGGGGGATGAGAAAGCAACTGGTGGTAGAAAGAGAGATAGGGGGATGAGAAAGCAACTGGTGGTAGAAAGAGAGATAGGGGGATGAGAAAGCAACTGGTGGTAGAAAGAGAGATAGGGGGATGAGAAAGCAACTGGTGGTAGAAAGAGAGATAGGGGGATGAGAAAGCAGCTGGTGGTAGAAAGAGAGATAGGGGGATGAGAAAGCAACTGGTGGTAGAAAGAGAGATAGGGGGGTGAGAAAGCAACTGGTGGTAGAAAGAGAGATAGGGGGATGAGAAAGCAACTGGTGGTAGAAAGAGAGATAGGGGGATGAGAAAGCAACTGGTGGTAGAAAGAGAGATAGGGGGATGAGAAAGCAACTGGTGGTAGAAAGAGAGATAGGGGGATGAGAAAGCAACTGGTGGTAGAAAGAGAGATAGGGGGATGAGAAAGCAACTGGTGGTAGAAAGAGAGATAGGGGGATGAGAAAGCAACTGGTGGTAGAAAGAGAGATAGGGGGATGAGAAAGCAACTGGTGGTAGAAAGAGAGATAGGGGGATGAGAAAGCAACTGGTGGTAGAAAGAGAGATAGGGGGATGAGAAAGCAACTGGTGGTAGAAAGAGAGATAGGGGGATGAGAAAGCAACTGGTGGTAGAAAGAGAGATAGGGGGATGAGAAAGCAACTGGTGGTAGAAAGAGAGATAGGGGGATGAGAAAGCAACTGGTGGTAGAAAGAGAGATAGGGGGATGAGAAAGCAACTGGTGGTAGAAAGAGAGATAGGGGGATGAGAAAGCAACTGGTGGTAGAAAGAGAGATAGGGGGATGAGAAAGCAACTGGTGGTAGAAAGAGAGATAGGGGGATGAGAAAGCAACTGGTGGTAGAAAGAGAGATAGGGGGATGAGAAAGCAACTGGTGGTAGAAAGAGAGATAGGGGGATGAGAAAGCAACTGGTGGTAGAAAGAGAGATAGGGGGATGAGAAAGCAACTGGTGGTAGAAAGAGAGATAGGGGGATGAGAAAGCAACTGGTGGTAGAAAGAGAGATAGGGGGATGAGAAAGCAACTGGTGGTAGAAAGAGAGATAGGGGGATGAGAAAGCAACTGGTGGTAGAAAGAGAGATAGGGGGATGAGAAAGCAACTGGTGGTAGAAAGAGAGATAGGGGGATGAGAAAGCAACACCCACACCCACACCCACACCCACACCCACACCCACACCCACACCCTCACCCACACCCACACCCACACCCACACCCACACCCACCTGTCGCTGTCCTTCACGAGCATGAGCACTGTCCCTAGGGTGAGGTAATCCAATCCCATGGCGGTGGTGGCGTCTTTGTATCGCATCAGACTGTTGTTATTGGCACACCCCGCCACGCCCCAGTAGGTCAGGTTGGTGCTGCTGGGGGGGCCGTACCCATTGAACACACGCAGGATTGCTGCCATTTGCTGCTCACACACACACACACAGAGATACACACACATGCGCAACGGAGTTGAGCAATGCTGGTTCGAACCCCTTCACTCCCCAAGAGATCAGGTTGGTGCTGCTGCGCGGGCCGTACCCGTTCAGCACGCGCAGCAGCGCCGACATTTGCTGCTCATGCACACACGTGCGCACACGCAACGAGGTCAGCAGGGGTGATGCACATCCCGCCATGCCCCAATAGGTCAGACTCGTGCTGCTTCTCCACGGGTCGTACCCGTTCAAAACGCGCAGCAGCGCTGACATCTCCTGCACGCACGCACACATACACACACACACGTACACACACACACGCACACATGCACACGCACACGCACACACGCACACATGCACACGCGCACATACACATGCTCACGCACGCACACGCACACACGTGCGCACACACGCAGACATACACACGCACAACGAGTTAAGCAAAGCCGTCTCCCCTCCGCGCCGCCCCTCTGGGTTCCGCACCCCGGGGCGGGGGGGGGGCATCAGCGCCGTGCGGGGCGGTGGGAGCGCGCCGCTGCGCGACGGAGAGAGCTCCGAGGCGGAAATTTAAGGTCGAATCAAAAGTCGCGTCGCCGCTGCGCGACGGAAAGAGCTCCAGGACACCAGACGGGATGTCGTTGACAGTCGTGTCCACGTGTCCCCGTGTCCCCCGTGTCCCCCGTGTCCCCCGTGTCAAGCGCGCCGATAATTTCTGAAAATCAAGACCTACCTGCCACGAACCGAGCTCGCCACACGAGGCCGGGCTCGCCACACGAGGCCGGGCTCGCCACACGAGGCCAGGCTCGCACAGACCAAGTCCTCACTCATGGGGATCTCACGTTCGGATAATTTCTGAAAGTCAAGGCCTACCTGCCACGAGGCCGAGCTCGCCACACGAACGTATAATTTCTATACGGGACCTCCCGAGCTCGCCACGGGACCTCACGTTCAAATAATTTCTGAGAATCCCGTGCTCTACCTCCTTTGCGTCGCTATCCGTCGCTATGGGTCGCCATGCGTCGCTATCGCTACGCGTCGCACCTGCACGCGCGAGACGGACGAGAGCACGCGCTGGTAGAGGTAGCGCACGCGCAAGTGGCACCACCCGCGCATCGCCTCCTCCCGCGGATTGGCGGCCTGCGTGTGCGCGAACCACACCACCCACGCGCACAGCCCCGCCCATCCCGCCACCCACACCACTCCCAGCAGCGCCCTCCCCACGCCCCACGGCGGGCCCCGTGACGAGAGGCGCCACGGCTGGCGCATTAGACGTCTGTAGCTTGGATTCAGGATGAAGAGTGAACAGCGAAATGAATAGAACTGAGAATGAGGAGAGCATAGGCGGGGAACTAGTGGTCTCAGTTATGTAAGACTATGTGTAAAAGGTTAGAATTGGTCGCCTTTGATTGGGCGACTGCTGCAGTGCTGGGCTAGTGGGCCACGCGCGCCGCACGGCAGCGAAGTGAATGGCGCTGTTCTACAGGGCTGCGTTCTGTTGGCGCATAGCCTGTGCGAAACCCTAATGGGGAATACATGATGCATCATGACATGATGCGCAGTCGAATCGCGGGCATTTGCCCTGCCCATGATGAACCCAATCCCAATAGCACTTGACCACGGGAAAACGCACGCACAAGAACTCGCGGCTCGGCAAGATTCGGAAATTTGACGGGTGGTTGGGAAGCTTCGACCTCCCACTTGCACCCCCGATTTCCGGGATCCCTTCTGTTGGCGCATTAGGGGTACTTAGGACGCGTCCCATTTCCTCCCTCGATCAATTCTGCCCTAGATCGATCTAGAAACAGTTACAGCTAAACTACAGTTTCTCAAATTACAGGGTAACCTGATCTTGATGGCACATGCGAATGTACAGTAAATAGTGCCCAACGATCTTGTCACCTCCAGATGTAGAGCGATCGGTGTGTGCCCAACGACCTTGTAATCACCTGCACACACCGATCTGGAAACTCATGCGCGAGTCCCAAGCTCGTGCGCGCTCTAGGTGACAACAACAATCGATCGCCATCGCATAGTCGAATACAGGGTAACTATATTTTGATATGGCTAGCGATTGTCACCCAACCCTATATCCAACTGCAATCCCAAGCTTGTCATTTGGGGCTCGATACCGATATGGTGATCGAATTATGCTGTCACCACCTACCGATCTTGCCTCGATCCTGCAATCGGCGGGCCCATTCTTTTTTTTTTTTTCAGCGATCTCGCGATCGATCGAAGAAGGGGACGCGTCCTTAGCCCTAACGATGAATATTCTAGGATCGCGCATGACAAGACTTAAAGCCCACGTCGAGCCCCCCAACTCGTTATTGTGTCCCGAACCTGG